GACTGCCTAACGTGGAAGTCACGAAGAATATTCCATGCTTCCAGAGCAGTTCAGGTGTTTCCAATAAGCTGTAGCTGTCTGTTGTCTACCAGATATCCAATCTTTGCCGCTGCTCGTTTGTCTTTGTCGATCCAATCTTCAGATCGAGACGATCATTCGCGATCACTCGCCACAGTCCTTCTCGAATCAAAACATACCTCGTTATATCTAGAGTCGGTGTATAATGAGTCACGCCAAGAGTGAAGCCAAGTCTACCTATTGAACTGTCAAACCGGCTACCTATCGTGCAAAGTAAATAAACATTACGATGCTATGAAAGTTCCACGAAAGGTATTGCAATAAAATATAAAATATAATCGAAGAAATGAGCATAAACACGCAGTGAGCGTTAAATTGTCATGGGATACGCTCGGTAATGATTAGTAATGAGAATTTCTACTATTTTTTTGTTACGATAATTTGACAAAATCACTGATATAATGATTTACTGCAGCCGCAATATTTTTTCTCTCGCTAGAAGTCATTTGAAGTTGTTGTAGAAGTCCTCTGTTGCCAAGTGAAAAGAATGGGAATCTTCCGAAAACCGTGATGCGAGTTCAAATGTTATTCTCTTGGCGTGACTCATTATACACCGACTCTAGTTATATCTTTCTCCAATCCACAAATCGTAATTGTGTAAATTCAACCGCACCATTCCCGTCTTCAGATCCATGGTCATCTTCGAACAAAATCTTACCTGAATCACTGTTCACTGTTCAAATTGGATTTATATTTTCTGACTTCTTACTCTTTTGGGCCAATTCCATTCCAAGAGACAGAATGAATGCTATTAAAAAGCTTAAAAAGCAGTGTTGACAGTTTGTCTGCTTTACTCTCGTGGATGTGACAGCTACCCGCTACTGAAAAACATCGCAATCTCCACTGGTTGCTCTGAAGATTCGCTGTAGTTACCCAGAGATGTTCGAGGGGTACTGAATTTATCCTCAGGAATCTTCGACAGGGTGTCGACTACCTGGAAAAACCTGGATAATCAGGGAATATCTGGGAATCCATTTTTGAACCTGGAAAATCAGGAAATCTAGGGGAATTTCGTTCAAATTCAGGGAAATATTTCTTAATCACAGAAACTTAATAATCTGTATGACTGACTTTGCTAAGTTCAAACCACTTAGTTACTCGGTGTTGTTTGAGGATGGTTGTTCAGTTCAAATTTTAAATATAGTAGCGAATTTGTACTTCCTGTGGTGTTTGATGTTGCATTTTTGGTGACTTTGCGCCTAAAATAAATTAAGCTCCCACACTGGGTGTTGACACATTCCTGAGATCCTGATGATTGACCCGTAGACACTAGACGTTGTTAATTGTTGCAAAATTTAACCTCCGTCTCCTAATAGATGCTACACCTAAATTCGTCTGCCATAGATCCTTTGGACGCATTGGAGCGCTTTTGAGTAAAATCAAGAATGGTATAAAGTTAAGAGAAGAGGATGAGTTTTTTTTTCCTGAACCTTAGCTCACAAAATCAACTAAATGATAATTTAGGATAATAGCACAGAACAGAAGGGGAAGTGCAAAAAAATCGGTGAATCAAAAGGTGGTTCGTTTTTCTGCTCAACAAGCGATGTATTGTGGTAGCGTTTCACGGGCTTTCTATGTGCACTCACACTATCATAGGATGCTGCCTAGCTTAACTGCAGGCAGAAGATGCCTTCTACCGCTAGGTGCGCTAGTGTTCGCAAATGACAAGTGGAGCCACTTTCTGATCCGAAGTTCCACTCCTGTGATAATCGTCTTGATTGGGTGGATTACTTCTTTGATTGCTTGGAGTAGCTCTTTGATGATTGAATAATGATTCAAAGGAACGTATTCAAGCATTGTCTCGACAGCAAGCATAGACTGGCTTTATTGAGTATTCTAGGTCTACATTGTTAATCTGGTTAGCTCGGAAAATTAGCATCTCAGTGAAGTTTTAGTATTGCAATTGCGAAGAAATTAAGTTACAGTAAACGTACTATCCGGAATAATTTTCTTGCGGAGCTGAAGGGAAGGGGATTAAAATTGTGCTCAAGTGAATAAAAATATAAAGGGATTAAACACAAGTGTTTCATTTGTAAGATGTAGGAAAACTGGGTGAATTTCAGTCCCAGGCGTTGAGTTCGGAAACAGTCAGAAAAGAATTTCTAAGCAGGGTTGAAAAATATCACGATATTTCACGAAGTTCAACAAGGGAAAAGTTCGCGAATCATAGTGAGTTTGGGTGAATATTTTCAACACTGCTTCTAAGGGTGAGAAAATCACCATGCCAAGGACCTCTTCTCATATGATGGAGTAAATCGAGTAAACATGCTGAAAACTTTAAGCGATTATGCAGGCCTTGTTTGTAGATTGATATCGAGATGGTTGCAGTTTCCTTCACACATTGCTATTAATCATGTATTGAACTGATTACCTGGCACTTACCACGATTACAATTTGTAATTAGGAAAAATTCGGTGCCTTCGGTGTTTTTGGCAACACGTGATGTCTATCTTTTTTGCATTCTATAAAATGTATCGAACGCTTTATTCAATTTGAGATTGTACTGGATCACTCTTCATGGGTTAGAGGTCCATGTGATATTTCATGATAAAATGTCCAGAAAACGCTACCCAACTAATAATTTTGGCTGCAGACTAGCTTATACAGCCAAAACTTGCCGTATGCAGCTAATTTGGTGCCTGTATAGACTGGTCTGCAGTTAGAATTGTTTGTTGGGCAGTACATATCTTGGGTAGAGGAAAGTAAAAAGAAATGAGGTCGTGTTAATAAACCATATAAATCGGGGAATTTGATTTTCTTCATTTAGTCGACACCCTGTTTGAGTTAGAATCAACAGGACCTTGCAATTTTCTTAGTGTATTTCAGGAGCAATATCCAAAATGTTGAATCGCGCGCTGATGGAATTTCTTTAAATGTTTAAGAAAGTTCTCATATACAATTTAAGGTATTTCTGGAGCTCCATGAATTTTCGAAATTTCCCGAGGAACTTTCCAGCTTTCCTGACAGCATAGTTACATTTCTTGATTCTATTCGCATAACTTCATTCATTCAGATTACTGAATTGTATAATTCGAACAGACTGAGGACATTTCTTTTTACATTAATAAATAAGTGATAATAGTGCACATATATAGATATGTTTTAGGGAGCAAGCTTTAAATACGTTACGCTAATTTCTGGGAAAATAAAACCCCTTAAGAGCGTGTCATACTTAATGGATCACCCCAAATATCCAGCACCGTAACGAAGACCTTCTCAAACCATCTCTGAACGGTATTCTAAAGATCTATGAGCTTTTAATTTTTCAGAAAAAATAATAATAAACATTTGCTCAAGGTTCATCGTTAGACCGGTGATACATGTAAATGTTGATCATAAATCAGAACTTGTTTCAATCGCTGACATTTGAGATCAAGTCACCCAGTTCAAACCAACAGCGGGCGGATACTGTTTCGTGCCAACAGCAATCTACTGGTAGTAGATTTATTGCATCTCCTTGAGGCGCTTCATAAATATGCTAATAGATGTATTGAACAACGTAATCTATCCGTAGTTTATGGAAGCACATTGCACTAATGGAAAAATTTAATCATTTCCAGTCGGTGCGGAGTCACATGTGCTTACAAAGTGCATATTTTAACATTGCATTTCGTAAAATGTGCCAACCTACTAGTTAAGAGCTCATGGTCCGAAACCCGACACCACTCATCATGCAGCCAGACCCAGAAAGCTGAATCAGCGTTGAACAAAATAAAAACACAAACAATATATATATCGCAAGCCGAAACCAGCACCGATAAACTACTGTAAATTAACGCTTACCAAATTACTATGCAACCAGCACCTCGCTAGAGCCAACAAGGCTTTCGAATATACGAACACAAATTACAATAATAAAAATTCACATTATCAAAATTCATCGCCCCTTTTTGCTAGCCCCGGACTGCCGCTAGCGAGAGAGCGAACGCCGAAGCCAAACACGCCAGAGTGCTGCTAGTTAATTTCCCGCTCACGACCGGCTCTAATGGCTTTAGTCACGGCAGGCAGAGTGGGCGTCGCCCTGTAGCCCTCGTTGTGTTCATTCCCCCGTCTCGATACCGGTCGAGGAAGAAGCAAAGCAACTCGAAGCTAAATACGCCACGCCCTCCAATTCGCCATCCACCAATCCGGGTGTAAGCTTTTCTCCCATTGCCCTGACAGCCAACCAGCGTCGCCGTTCGAATGTTGCTTCGTGCGGTGAGCTTTCGTCGGTTTGCTTCGGCTCACCCGCTCCACCTTGCACGCCATCGCTCGCACTGCAACCACTTCGTTCGTGTCGAGCACGTTGTTTTGTTTACGATTTTCACTGCCGCGGTGTGAGTGCGGGCACTTGTTAGTACCACTACCACAACCGGAACCGTATACCAATACAACCTGCGATGGTGGATTGTTTTGAAATAAAGTCAGATAATTTATGGTCCTCGTTCTTTTTTCATTAATGGGTTCTCGCGTACTCTCGTCTCGTTTTGTCGTAGCGAAGTTTCTGGCCAAATGGGATTCCCGCCTTGCACTGCTTCCGTACCGCGTGCGCGTCTCCCACCGATATGTTGCATGAACTCATTGACTCGCTGTCCTCGCACATACATATTCCGTCCGTGTTGGTCGTGACGTGAACCGGCAGTTTTCCTTCTCGATGGCGTTTCGTTTTCCTTTCAATGGCGCTCGCTTCTCTCACGCTGCGACTGAGACGAAACTCGTCGTCGTCGTCTACATATCAGCTTTTTATGGTCGTCTTATTGTGTGTAACATTATGTTCTTCTATGGCTTTTCTGATTTTCCTTTTCATTTCTTTCTACCATAGAAGGAGAGTTCTATGCCCGGTAGGGCATGTCCTCCCGATCCAATCCAAAAGCGAATGGTCCTTCTGGGAGTTACCTTGGTGTTTCGAAGATTAAATGTTTCCGTTCAACCATTCGTTACAGCCCCTCTTCCGATGGAATCGATGCTACCGATGCCGCCAATGCCTCCCGTTGGATTCCAGCTGATCCGGGATCCCAGCACCGGACAAATTTTGTTCCTTCCAACGACGACGACGATAGGTAAGTTTTTCACGACTCGAAGTATTTTCGCATAGCCAGTAGATTCCGTAGACTTGAAAAGAGCATACATTTTAGAAAGCATAGTCTTAGTTAACATCAGAGGTAGTTGCCCAAATTAGAGAAAGAATCAGTACGCTTAGAGGAGCTGTCCCAAAGCAAAACCCAAGCAGTGTTGCCAATCAACGCTGCTTCCTCGCTCATCTATCCATATCAAAGTTTCGTCCTACAAACTAAGTAGTTTTCAAAGTAGATATAATTCCCACTTGCTTTTCAAATGACAAATGACTTCAGTTCACACAAACTTTGGTGTTTGGGTTCATGATTAGTTTGTTTTTTTTTTACGATTCGAATAATTAAGTTTAGTTGCCTGCTTGTATTGCTTCACTTTTAACCAGAAAATTTTCTTTTTCTCTTTTTTCTTTCATCCTTGTTTCTGTGCCTTGAAATCTTATCTCACGCCTTAATTTGAATTAATCGTACGCCACTTAAACGAAAAAACCATCCATACATACACCCACACAAACCTCCGTATGCTTCAAACAACCATAACCAATCCATCCGCCACTGGATAGATAAAGTCTACATTTCTTGTATAGAACCATTCCCACAGACGGTGGTATGGCCATCGTACCCTCAGTCGACGGCTGCCATGCAGCCGCCGCACCTATTGCTCCCACAAATGTCGCAGCAGCAACTGCAGCCTCCACCGCTGGCACCACTGCAGATGCTCAGCTCCGACTATCTGGCAACCGCCAGCAGTACAACTCTGCATCAGGTTAGTCTCGATCTTGGCGGCAGTCCATTTCTATCGATACTGATTCCCTCCATCTCTTGCCTTCAGCAACAGCACACTCAAACTCATCACAGTACAAGATACGTTGCCCTAACTTCCGATAACAACAAGCGATCAAACAGCAACAAATCTACGTCTAGCGGCGTCCCAACGTCATGCCACCCGAGCATACCGATGCCAATACCTTCGCATACCTTTATCAAAATCGAAGACTGTAGCGGCACGGCCGCTTCCATGTGCAACAACTCCACCCAACTCTACCAAGAACAGGAGAAAACCATTCAAACCGCAACGATCGCGACCTCTCCAGACATAGCCCCTCAGTTGCTGTTCCAGCAGGGCAATCTCATCCAGATCACTCCCTCCGCCAAGAATACAGCCAGCTTACTGGAGCCACCTGCAATCATGCCGGCCATAACTACAGCGTCCGCCAACCCAATTACTCCTCCTCCGTCTACCGTGTCAGCTTCGTTAGCTCCAAGTCCCCATCAGCCGGAGCTTCCAGCCGCCACCTGCTTAACCCCTCCTCCAGACCAGTCCATTTGTCACAGTGAAGACGTCGAGGCGCCTCCTGCTCCCGAAGTTCAAGACGCAAACATCCAAACCGATACTCCCATCATGAGCGAAGACGACAACACCGTTGGCACCGACGATGGTCCTCACCAGCAGTATGCCTCTAATCTTACCCTGCCGACGAATTCATCGGAAGAACCTCACTTTCCCCATATGTTCTCGTCACAACCATCCATCGTACCAACTCAGTTGCACCAGTCGTCCGAAATGTTGTGCCATAGTATCATCAACAATAGCGGCGATTCCGCCATTGAACCGGACATGTCCACCCATTCGTCGTCCGGAACTAGCCTAAATCTTAGCAATACCAGTAGTACAAACTGTGATCATACGGATGGAATGGAAGGCGAAGACAACGCCATACCTTCCACAGCGTCCGCTGTACCACCCGAAACCACTCAACCACTCACCGTGAGTGCCAACTATGGCCTACGGATACCGAAACTTGAGATGCTCTCCCCTGTCGAGAACCCAGTTCCCCACGAACCGGAAGAATACCACCCAGCGGAACCCAGCCAGCAAGAACACCCCGTGGATCTCAGTGGACTCGAACTACTCTCCCGCAGCATAGAGGTCTTCCAGAAAAAAGCTTCCATGATCAAAAAAGAACCAATCTCTCCCCAACTCCCTCCAGAACCTCCTCAACTTCTTCCACTTCCGCCCCTAATCCCCTGCGAGCCTACCCTCCATCGACCGGCCATTCCGGAAATCAATCCACCCCATCGACCATCCACCCCACAACCCGCCGTTGCAACGCACTCCTCAGTCACGGATGCTTTCATCCGCAACGATGAACCCATGGTCGGGCTGAACCTGCTCTGCGCTCTAGCCGAGCAACGCTTCCAAGAGGAAGGCATGTTCAAAAAGGACTCACCCGCTATCAACTTCTCCCCATCTATGTCGCCGGCAGAGGATAAGCTCGACCAATCAGCCGAGTCCTCGTCGCCTCCACAGACCATGCCACCGCAGGCAACAAGCCCGGAGATTCCGTCGCGGAAACGTAAGCACAAACATTCCAAAGATTCTCGGAAATCCAGCAAAAAGTCCAAGCACGACAAAGAACAACGAAGGGAACGCAAACGGAAGCATAGCTCCGATGCGAACGAAGATGACGAATTCGGCGGCGAGCTGAAGCAGAGTTTCACTCGAATCAAGGCCAAGCTGGAGAAGTGCGGCTGTATCGATGCAGATGAACAGGATCATCAGTGCCGCAGCAAAACCACTTGGCCATCGACAGCCAACGAGCTGTTCAGTGTAATTGAATCCGACATGAAGGAGAGGCTAGTGCACATTACGAGACAGTGCGAGGAGAAAAAACGAGAACTGGAGCAGATGAGTACGACTTCGGTAGCAAAGGTCAAACCACTGACGGCTATGGTTCGGATACCGGACATTGGCAAATCGTATTTTGGAGGGTTCAGCTCCAGTTGCAGTGGGCTGTTGAATGGAACTTCTACTAGTGGAACCATCAGCAATGTTGCCCAACCGCCAACCTTGTTGGCCCCAAAATTAAGTACAATTCCGGCCTTGTCTCCGAATTTCTCATCTTCATCTAACTCGACGACATTCATTGAGTTGCCAAAACTCAGTTCGGACACCGATTCCAGCAAGCAGGAAGACGTGGATTCCAATTCCATCGAGAGGCTATCCATCTCCAAGCGCAAAGGAGGTATACCCAAGAAGCATGACGACATCGCTCTGACGGAGACAATCGTTGCGAAGAAACCCAAAAGTTTAGTCGGATACATTCTGGCATCGAAGAACCGCATGGGAGACAGCACTGTGAAAGAATCTGATCATCATAAATCATCCCATCATCATCATCACCATCACCATCACAATCATCGTCAACAGCCCGGAAGCAATGTGGCAGCGAGCAGTAAGCAACAACCGGGTGAAGTCAAACAGAAGAAATCACCGATCCATTCGTCCAAGTTTGAAAGCACGGCAAGCGATGACACGAGCAATCTGTCCGATAGCTCAACAAAAGTGCAGATCAAGATCAAGTCGCCTGCCTTCAGCTTCGAGGACGAAAATAGTAAGCCATCAGATGCTGCCTTCTCCATCTTCGGAGGCAAACCGCCGATCTTCGATAAAGTGAAGACGTCACCAATCAGCAGCACTACAATAAGCACGCTGAAGATGTCTCCGGTTCAGGCTGTTGTGGCACCTATGAAGCATCACCATTCGAAGCATAAGAAATCTCGCAGTAAGGAACGCAAGCGACGCAGTTCCGAGAAAAAGCGAATCGATCTGAAGTGTTTGCTGACGAGCGATTACCTGAACCAGAACAAGACCCGGGTGTTGACCGCCATGGGAGGTCTGTTCTACGCGGGATGCTTGAGTGCTGTTCAGCCACCGGATATCTACGCCGTCACGCTGGACGGGGAGCGAGGAAACCGGCCGCACATCATGTCCCGGGAAGAAGTGCTGCGCGACGCGGTTAGTTGTGATTTAGTAAGTCTTCGCGAGGGCCTCTAAATTATGATTGGTAACGTTTGTTTTCCAGATTCTTGAAGTTGCACCGAAGTCAGTGGAGGAGATCATTCCGGGAACTCGACTCTGTGCGTACTGGAGTCAGCAGTACCGGTGCCTATATCCAGGAGTGGCTGCGGAACCGACGTCTCCCGATCCGGAAAAGCGGTACATCAACGTAGAGTTCGACGATGGCGATAGCGGAAGGATCGCTCTCGAGGACATCCGTTTTCTGCTGAGTGACTATCCGATAGTCGGTAAGTTGACAAACAGGTTCTACTGTAGTTTAGTTCGTAAGACTCTAGCCCTAAGTTAATCCTAAGTTGATCTCTAGCGGCCTTTTTTCGTTGATTTTTGGAACTTGTTTTTCTTTTTTTTTCTCGCTCCATTAACACACACTCAACACCGACGCTAAACCAGAATACGATCCAAATCCTCTTCTATCGCTAGGCAAGAGAAAACGCCAGCCAAGTGTTTCGGAAGTGGGTACCACGTGTACGACCACGGCCGGAATGACAACGGCTAGTGTTCCGTTGGCCGCCACCACCAGTAGTACAACGACGATCACTACGACCAACTGTTTCGCAATGGTCAGTGATCGAACAGACAAACGGGTTCACGATGAAGCGTACCGAGAGGAACGCCGACGGTTGAAGAAGATCCGCAAGGATAAACTTCGCCGACTGGCAGCGAACAATGCGGAGCTGTCGTCGCACAAGCACAAGAAGAAGTCCAAGTGCAACGACGAATACTGCAAGCACCGGAAGCACAAGAAGCGAAGAAAGCACAAGAAGCATCACCGGGAACACGATGTTCCCTCTTCGCCGGATCCGGCTGCAGCCGGTTCGATGGATGATGACATATCGCAAGGGGACAGTGCATCACAGGCAGCGGGACCGTTAAGCCCGGCGTCGGTGGTGGATGTTTCCATTCCGGAGGACAAGCCCGACGAGAAGGAGGTGTTCAATCCCAGTTTGAAGGAAGATACGTTGACCGAGAACGAGGAAGCAAGTTCATCGATAACCGAAAGCTCCGGATCGTACTATGTAAGTGTTCCGTTTGTCAAACGGCTATGGAATTGTCAGTTCATTTGTTTATTTTATATCCGTTTAGCAACCGAAGAAGTCATCGACGGAGAAGAGGCAATCGGCGGAGAATAATAGCAAGATTGCGGCGTTCTTGCCGGCAAGGCAACTTTGGGCCTGGTGCGGCAAAGGGTACCGGCGGTCAACCGGACGCGTCAAGAAGCAGTTCTACAAATCAATTCAGCGCGGAAAGGAAACGATTTCGGTAAGTTTTTCGACATATTTTGGTTATTGGATTGTCGACCTGCAACTGGATTCAGTGCCGGCGTAGGAGTAGGAGTTGCTGGGGTATTCTAAAAGAAATGAATTAGCATAATATCAACATCAGCCGGCGCCGGTGGTGTAGTGGTAAGCGTGACTGCTTTCTCACCCCAATGGGTCTGGGTTCAATCCCAGTCGAGGTCGGTGGGATTTTTCTGAGGCATAACAATCTCTGGTCACGTCTTCCTTCGGAAGGGAAGTAAAGCCGTTGGTCCCGGCCAATGTGTGTTGATGAATAATGGGTGCGATATCCTACGCAGGTGTGGAAGCTGCCTTCCTGCACATTCGATTGCCGTCAAATGGATGGCAATCGATGTCCGTCGGTGATTGGCACTAGATTGCGGAACAGAGACCGACGTTAAATAAAGGAAAGTAATATCAACATCAACGTAGAAAGCCACCGTCAATTTGTTGCGTCCATTGTGAAATGCATATTCTTATAAAAGATGTTTCGAGTTGCTCATGAATGCATGCTTTGGCCGCTTTGAACTTAAAGAAAAGTACTTTCTCCACTGAAGTTCTGTAAGCAGTGTTGGTAAAATATCAATAAATCAAATCTCACCAAAGAACAAGATCACGCTTGATTTTCGTAGACAAAAATCCACAAGCAAACAGCTGCGGTTTATATTGCAAGCTGTGATATCAAGGTAACAAAACTGCAAATCTCACCAAACTGGGGTGAGATTGGATTTTCAAGAATTTTTGCTTTACAGCCGAACGCAACCGAATTCTTCCATAACGGCAGTCGCTTCGAGTCTGCCATCGGCGAAGAGAAAAAAAGTCGCGTTAGCTTTACGGAGCCGATAATTCATTGTTCTTTGTTTGTAACAAAATTCACTTAATTCTATGTTTAGTAGGAGTTGGGCCGAATACTCGCGGCTTACCCGAGGTTAGGCGGGTACATTGTCGAAGGATAGGAAAAGAGGAGGAGCTTGGGGGCAGGGATGCGTTGTCTCATCAGAGCGATGTCGCCAGTATGAACGGTAGTGTGGTTCTATATTCGTCTGGAGTTCGACCATTGCAAATTATTGACTGCTTGATTATTATGAGCGAGATTATAAGGTAAAAATTTTTATGAGTCTTTTAACTCTGGCAAAATTTTAACAACTGTCAGCAGACTCAAAATGCCTCTGAAATTATAAAAACAGAAAAAGGCACAGTTAGCTTCATATAATCATAAATCAAAAGTAATGTAAAAGAATCAAATTATCAAATTGATGACGCCATATTGGTTCGTTGTGTATACCTGAAAATCACGTAAATCTCTTTTCGTGGAAATATCTAAATGCCAAACACACTGACACAAATACTCTAAATCTGCACGGGAAAAAAAGAGTTCCCATATTCGTGAACCACAGCCGTGAACCATAGTTCACGGTGTATATTTGAGAAAATTTTGTTCTGGATAGCTGGCCGTGATTTTTAGTTCACGGTCCGTTCCCGTTTTCGGGAACGGATTTTTTTCCAAGTGAACATACGGTCGATTTCACCAACATGTTTAGTGAACATGACGTTTAATGCAGTTAAAAGTTACTAACGTCCCGTAACATTTGAGAATCAGTTACGTAATATTTAAGGTAAATCAGACGTGAATGTTTTTTTAGAATGTACCGAACCAAGAAGATTGATGATTAAAGGTTGAGATCAAACTGCAGACTCAAGGGCTCAAGAAACACCCTAATAAAAATACCATAAACGAACGATAACCCAAATGATTGAACTATTCCACAAATGGTTTGGATGATACCCCGAACACGTCGTTAAGCAAATTAACCATAACATTTTTATTAGGGCAGTGAAACTTCCGTAAAGGTTGTCAATTCGTAAAAAGATCCTAATGCCGTTTGCAATGCCTTTGTATTTTATATGGACTGTATTAAACTAGAACCGAAACGCACCCCTCGCAATGCTGAGTTGCAGTTTCATTGTTCGAGCCAGTGCTACAAAATCTCTATAATACACGGTGATATTGACAATTCACTCATTTGAGCTAACAGTCACAGTCAAGGCAAACCATGTCAATTGTCAATGACAATGCTGTCAGTGACGAACATGTATAGATTTTTATATTAACTAAATTTTTAACGAAATTAAATGATTTTAGCAACACAATTACATGGAGTCGTTAATGTGAACGCATATACGTCCTGAACTGCTTGACTAACATTAATGTGACACAGAATGTACGATATTACACTTTTTGTGACCAGGATAATCTTGGTCATTGACGAAAAAATGAATGAGATTTTGACTAAGGTTTTTTTGAGCATCAAATCTGCAAGTGACTATGTGACGAACTATTTTGTCAATATCGCGCGAAAGTCTGTCAATGACAATGACAAATCTCAGCACTGGTTCGAGCACTATTTTTAACCTGTTTCAAATTTTTTTGGATGTATTTGTTGAGCTTCATATAGTCAAAGCCACTAGCCCAAGGGGTAGGTCACTCCGCACACCAATCTTGGGTCAAAATTTTTCTCAGTGTGCTGCAAGTGTGCCGCAGAAGTGCCGATTGTGCCGGTCACACGGAGAAACGAAACAACTCGAAATTAAGTTATTGAAACCAGTCAAAATTGAGTTCTTCGCGAAGAATCCAATTTTAAGTACTTTGCAAAGACTTCGCTTTGAGTAAAATGTACCTGTTCTTCATTTTAATAAAATTAGGTAAAAAGATTGTTTTTTTTTTGTAATTTTCTTGAATGTGCTGATCTGAATTCTTCCTTAATCAATATTAAATGCGTCCTTGGCCTGAGGGAAGGTGTTTGGTTTTTAGTTACTCTTTAGCAGCTCGTTTTGAAAACATGCACCAACGAGTCCCAGCCTCAGTCTGCCAGATAATTCGATTCTTGTCTAATCCGTAGGTGAACGCCGGAGATCTTTTGAAAGTCGCGGATTCTGAAAAGTTTGCAAACGAGAGAAGATTTAGCAAGTGTTTGTATTTCATAATTTACAAACATACCAAGTAGTGCAAAAGTTAAGTAGTTTCCACAATCGGATTATGGCTTCCGAAGAACCTGTTGTCAAGACGGTGCATTAGTTAGGACTTTTAGGACCTAGAAATATATTTTACTTTAGATGTTTGGACATTAAATTACCTTCAGCAAACAACCTCCCTCGCATGCTTCTCCAGGCTGACGATAAATATGGCGCACGAGGCAAGTAATTTTTCACCCAAAATAAAGTCTAATCGCAACAATTCATTATAAGTTAAAATTACTTTTCACTGAGAACAAAATTTAAACCAAAACAATAGTGATCTATCTATCTCAGTTTTGAGTTGTTTCGATTCTCCGTGCATAGAGCAAGCTGTGATTCTTTGTAAAATACGTATATTTGGCAACCCGGTATTTCTGACAGCTTGAATTGAATTTTTTGGCCTGGCTGCTGAGATACGAGCTTACCGATACGATTACGGTGCTGTGTGAAAAGTTCATCTTTTTCCTAAAGCCTAGTATACAGATCGAGGCGAAACGAAATTTGAAGCACGCGAAAAATCATGAAATTTCGCTAGCGAAAAAGGTTGTGAAAAAATGTTTGTGGAACATTTCCCTTTTTTCGCAGTTTACAGTTCATGTGAAACGAAATCGATCAGTTTACACCTCCGGTGAAGTGAAAATCTGACAGATACGCTCTTTCTCGAAACGTCAACTTTTCGCATAGCTGCTGCTCTTTCCGCGAGCGCTGCATGCGCGAAAAAAAAATAAACGTAAGCGAAAAAGATGCGATCCACAAACGGACCTCCGGAAGATCCGGATCATCCGTAAAGGTAGTCAATTCGTGGAAAAGATCATACACACTTGGATTTTTTTGCCGAGCGAAGCGAAAATCTCATACAAAATACTACATTTTTCACCTGCGTGAAAAACGCAATTGGCAAATATTTCGCTTCGCTTTGAACTGTAAACAGATACGATCCAGCGAAATCTAATGTTGTGGATCGCATCTTTTTCGCTTACGTTTATTTTTTTTCGCGCATGCAGCGCTCGCGAAAAGAACAGCAGCTAAGCGAAAAGTTGACGTTTCGGGAGAGCGTATCTGTCAGATTTTCACTTCACCGGAGGTGTAAACTGATCGATTTCGTTTCACATGAACTGTAAACTGCGAAAAAAGGAAACTGGAAAATGTTCCACAAACATTTTTTCACAACCTTTTTCGCTAGCGAAATTTCATGATTTTTCGCGTGCTTCAATTTTCGTTTCGCTTCGATCTGTATACTACACTAATAAAATTCCACACATTTTTATTGACGAATTTCCATGTGAAATTCCACATGATTTTCATGTGACCATACATAAACAGAATCCACCCAGAAGCACACATAAAATTTATGAGTCAAATGAATAGTATCTGTGGTTACACATGGCTTTTCTGTTTACACATATTAAGTATGTGTCCGACACATAAATATCATATGTTGATTACATTGCAAAAATTCATGTGTGGGGCACATAAAAACATTCTTTGAAATTTTATCAGTGTAGGCTTAAGCTCGCAGCACAGTTCGACAAAAAATCGACAGTGAGCATGCATAAGGGCGTATACGCGATGATCGATTCTCTTCATCGATTTTCTTTTTGCATTGCTACATGTAAGCGCGAAACAATTTTCAAGAATTTGTTCAATGCAGAGTTGTAACAGGTTGTATTGCGAGGGGCACGCACTAGTCTTTCAATACTACGCAGCTTGCTGAGCAAATATTTAAAATCTTGCAATTACTGCATTAATTACTTTAAATCTAGATAAACATTTCAAAAGGTCCTATCTGCATTGATCGATTCTCTTCGTCGACTTTCTCTTCCGTTAATAACTCAGCTGCAAAACCTTTCCCTGTTGTATTGGACGTTTTGGACGCTAGATAAGAAGCTCCTTTATCAAACTATGTGGTAGAATTAGCGCGAAATCTGTTTACATAGCAGTGGTTATGAAAAGAGAAAGTCAATGAAGAGAATCGATCAAAGCAGATAGGATGATTTGAAATGTTCATCGAGAAATAAACTCTTAATTTCATTAAATACTTGAATTACTGGCAGCAAAATTTGATACATTAATTATTTTCACAATTATTAAATTATTTTTCATTACATTAATTATCCTTAATTATTTGTTAACTACTTTCAATACCGCTAAAAGTATTGCTGATTGCATCTGAAACTGGACTGTCCCAAAAATGCAAAAAGTATGATAAAAGTGCACGTTTCCGCCAAATCGTTTTGATGTCTTCGGAGCACTTATTGCTTGCATCATAAGGAATAAGTGCACTGAAGACACCAAGACGATTAGACGTAAACTTGCAGTTTTATCACACTTTTTAATAAGTGAAAACGAGCTTATTAGTCCAATTTGGTGTGAAACGCGCAATATATAAATTCAAATGATTACTGTCTTCAAAGTATTTAAATTACTACGAAGTATTTTAAATATCACACACTCATACCTCACGGATAGAAATCTCCTTATACCTTTTGGCAAATTTCTATTGCTAATTATTCATAAAATGTATAAGTCAACTAATAAGCAGACGCCTTGCAAAAAGTTAATGAATATCATGTGTCAAATAAAATGTATAAGTGGTCACACATACCTTTTATGCATTCTTATAGGACCTATGTGGTTTGTCTTATGGAATGTATAAGGGTGATGTTTTGGCAAAAATGTATAAGTGAAACACATGAATAAAATAATTGATTTTCGTTTCGTGCTGGAAGGGCGCGCCCCTCGTTGTATTGGCTATCAAAATCAACAGCAAACGCACCGATAAACGTTAATCGATCATCGCGTTTACGCCCTTATGCATGCTCACTGTCGAAATGATGTTAGCTTGCGCCTGAAACAACACTCATTTCTGGATCAACAATAGAAAAGGGCCCATCAGCATTTGTAAACAAACCGTTCCAAAGCTCTTCACTCACAAAGCGAAGGCCACCCACGCAAACCAACATCATCATCGGATAGGGGAAACTTCTACCTACACTACGCCTACGCCTTTTTAATGCACCACCAACGTAGAGTGCGCCACACGAGTTCGAGAAGAAACGTCAACCAAACCGCTTGTTTACATCAGAATAACTATTTTTCACAACGCAAGTTAAAGCATTTTTCATACAACATCTTGCCAATTTCCATCGGTAATTGTCGTATTGTACGATTCTCCACAGATCTGAACTGATTTGTACCTTAACTATTCACACACAAGAAATCCGGAAGATCATAACCACTAAGGCACTTTTCTAATTTTCCATTTTTCTCAACAAAAATATTCCTGAACACCAACAGGATCTTTGCAAAAACGTTACAGAAATAAATTTTTCAACTATAGATTAAGTTTTGCAGCATCTCAGATGAATCAATTTCTGCTCACAACACTCTTTTTGACGTTCTGCTATTCACCACTAGAGGTTGATTCGATCGTTTAGTTCCCATTAAAAAGGCCTATTCGCGAAAGAAAAAATCGATGAAGGTAATCGATCAACAATGATAGGCTCTTTTCTCGTGTTGCGCGAGAATCCTGCGTTTTTCAAATTTTTTTTTAAACAGCTTGCTCTTTTGGGACAGACCTAAGAGAAGAGGTGACAATTAGGTTTTGCACCGTCGGGGTTAACCTCAATCTGATGACAGTTCAGTGGTACTGTTTACGTGGACTTAGTCGATTTTTTCTTGGGTAGATTTTCTGGATAATTTTTCAGATTGCAGTGAGCTGTAAACCACACTTTTGCAATGTCCACGAGCAACATCCTTTCACCACGCATTTCCTCAACAATTTTCAAGTTAAAATTCGGAAATTTTAAAATATATTTTTTCGAAAAAACGACTAAGTGCTTGTAAACAGTACCACTGAACTGTCAAAAAGGTTCAGCCGTTTAACACTGAGTTCATTTGTGACGTCACGCTGCAGAACCTAATACGGGGGCAAAAATGAACCACTTTTCTGTCATACGTGACCCAGCTCGGGATTGGCTGATTTGATGTGCGTAAGATACACGGTAACCGCAATATACCCAATAATAACTACAAAGTAAGCATTTTCGAGGGAAACTGGGACTACCCATTAAATGAGTAAAATTTTACCCATTTATGAGTAATTACAACTACAAAAACAAGTAGTAAGTATTCATTTTTGAATAACAAATAATCATAAATGGGTAATATTTTTACTCATGTAATGGGTAGTCCCAGTCTCCCTCGAAAATGCTTACTTTGTAGTCATTATTGGGTATTTTGCGGTTACCGTGTAGAGATAGACATAGATAAAGATAGAGATAGAGATAGAAATTAAAGAGTAAGAAGCCAATTGTCATCTCTTCCTCTTAGGGACAGACAAACAAGGATTAATAAATTACACCACAGACAAACAACAGTGGAACTGACAGCTATAAATCTAGAGTGTGTGAGTGATCTGGTGTTAATGGTGCTGAATGTAAACATAAACAAAGCAGAAATTCATATGAGAATAGACTTCTCTGACGTTTGTGAAATGCACAAGTATTAGCAACAATCAATACGAAACTAACGATTTTAAATTGGCTCACTACTTGACTAGCCTATTGGTCCCAAGCAAACGATCAAAGGACCCCATTCTAGTCGAAATTCTAGTACTACACAATGTTTGTTTTGATTCGCTATGAAAGTTTGACAGATAAAATGAGGGGTTAGTGGATTTTCCTATGTTTCAAGGGATGAATCGATTAGCTTGGGACCGAAGAGAGTAGCAGAGCTGAGCCAAAAAGTTGAGCACGTTATTTCGGGACCTTCTAGTCTTAGAGTTACCTTTATGGTAGTACCGCCACCTGCGGCGCGCATTGTCAATTCCTATGCGTTTGACGTTTACACACTACCGCCATCTAATCAGCGTACTACCCACCCTCGTACCCACCACAGTGTACTCAACAGATGGCGGTAATGTTTTAGCGACGATGTTCTACAGTGAGAAATATTCAATGTGTTATGCCTGTTTGTCTGTGTTACAAATATTAGTGCAAGAAAACCTTTGAATTTACCTCAAGTTCAGCACTAATACTTGTGCAATTCATAAACGTCAGAGAAGTCTATAAACTGCCAGTTCTAAAGTGATCTGTCAAAAGTTTTTGGTAAACAAAAAAGTCAGCTGATCACAACTGTCTCTTGGACAGCCTTATTGACTAAGCGCCACAGGTGGCGGTACTACCAACTAAGTCATATTTAAATTGATCGTTAATGTGTGTTAGATAAACAGCTTACGAGTGTTATGCCTGTTTGTCTGTGATTATACCACATGATTTAAATTTGATAAAAGCAATTTGGATATGGCAGACTTAGCTAAGCTTAGACTGACTGTACATATCAATGGTTGCTACTCCGTGATTGATCAGAACCAGGGAAATTGTACAATAAATCAACTGACTGGGGTTGGGGGTGACCTTCCCCTCTCATTGACAATTAGGGTGCAGCAGGGTTTAAAGAAAATTGTTACTTTTTTCGAACCCAAATCCCCAGTGATTCTTATATGCCCCCTTATACTATCCACACTGAAACAAATCGACATGTACCGTTTATTGGATCCATCTTATAACATAGCAATGTCAGCAGATTTATTCATTCTATGTGATGATTGATAGATTCCATTGGATTATCACTTAAAAACTATGACTGCGATATAGAATGATTTCTATCGTAATTTCACATACTTAGTACTTGATAATACGTTGCTTCGAGCGTGGTTAGCGATAGATAAGATGTATATGAATATTAGGTCATATGAATAAAGTGAGTAAAAGCTTTTACTTTGCTAAAATCCAAACGTCAAACCTTTTACTTGAGCATTTGCTCACGTTGATATGACAAAAGCTGAGATTTGAGTATTTAGTTTTCGAACATCTAAATCCATATGAATAAAATTGTAAGAACCAAGTATATACTCAATTAATCCTGAGTCACCTGTTGAGCATGCTCAGATGAAATCGAAGTGATGAACTCGCGTGTTTTGTGAGTGAAATATACGGTATAAAATGTACTTGGGAGATTTTGTTAATTTACCATTTCCAATGGTAGTTGACGTTGACGGTATATATCAAAATCAGAATCGTTCAGTAAAGATTTATAAAACTCGGCGAGTGGGAGATGATGATAACTTCGAGGAACTCTATCGGTTTACTCGAGAAAATGTTGACTTTTTGGCGCAAACATTTTTGGAAGATAATTCAGAAACCCGAGGTGGTGCATTATCAAACAGACAAAGGATGAAGTGTTTTTTAAGATACGTGGGTGATCCCGGATTCCAGGTAACATTTAATTTTTGTGAAAATGAGAGCGCGTTTATACATTGTTTAATTCACCCACAGGTAGGTGTGGGCGAAGATTTAGGCGTCCATCAAACTACAGTGTGCAAAACGATATGGTCCGTTTGTAAGGCGATCGTCGATAAATCAGCCGAATGGATACACTTTCCTAATACAGCGGTGGAGATGGAACAAGAAAAGAAGTCATGGCAGAGAAAATATCGATTCCCCAGCGCCATAGGTGCCATAGATTGCACTCATATTTTGATCAAACGCCCAGGTAACTACAAAGATGAATTTGTCAATAGGAAAGGATTAAACTCCTTCAATGTACAAGCAACATGCAATGCTACTGAACAGTTTACAAGTGTTGATTGCGAATGGGCTGGGTCAGTACATGATGCTCGAATATGGAGAAATTCTGATATCTTCGATATCATACAGGACAATGCATCTGGCGCACTTCTTTTGACTGATGAAGCTTACCCACTCACCCCATGGATGATGAAACCATATCGAGATCCTGTAACATCCTCACAGAAAATGCTTAACGTGATTCACACAAGGGAAAGAGTAATTATTGAACGTGTTTTTGGTCAAGTGAAACAAAGATTTCCTATCTTACAATCAAAGGTACGCGTAAAAACTGAAAAAAATCCTCGCATGATAGCTGCTTGTTTTATTTTACACAATGCAGCAAAGTATCTAAATGATAGGTGTGTGACTTACCTCGTTGAGAGATGGTCCGAAAGTGAGGGAGTTGTCCGTGCGTGTTCATTGAAGCGTTGCCATCGAGCTCGCCGTATAACGGCATTGAACTGTAACGGCGCTGACATCGACGAGCTGGACGCACGGCTTGCTGACTAGTTAAGCGTCAAGTTAAGACCCGCTTACACTAGCTCTAACATATGCCACACAATAGGGACTTTGAACTAGATGAGACTACAACGTACGACATAGCCGTTCCTGCATCAACCGTTATAGAAAATACAGCGCTACAACGAGGACAAAAACGCCGTGATGCTATTGCATCATATTTGCTAGGTGACCATGTTTGTTAAACCAGGAAAATACAAAGTCTTATACTCATGTATAACTAAAAGATTTTTGTTTTATTTTTGTTGATGATAGTAGCCTACTGTCTTACCTGACTAATAAGGAATATACGTTTTGCACGAGTACCCCAGATACAACGTGAATTCGTCTTATCTTGCACTGCAAACGCTATGTTCAATTAGACGAACTATACGTTCTAAATGTACTCATGCATAACGTATATTCGTTATAAGTCAGGGTGCATTGTAGTAGTCTAGGAATCTTCAATCTTCCGTATCTTCAACAACGTTAGCTTTCTTTTGAGCACCAACAGCTCCATTTCTTTCTCGTGGCGCTCATTTTGTTGGGTCTGTAATTGCGCCGTGTATTCCTGTTGAGCTTTTATCAGTTTGAGTTGTTTTTCAAGAATCGTTTTTTGACCGATGCTTTGAATTGGATGTCTTTGTCGTGTCATCTGAAAAGAAACCAGAAATAATGTTCTAAATAAGTTCACAGGATTTGTAGATAATAGACATAGACATGTAGATCAAGTCCATACTGCTGTTATACGTATTAGTCTCCCACGTTTCAAGCAACCATTCCAGGCGGTAGCGTTTGAAATTCCTGACATTGGAGCAGTTTATAATGGTAGCATTGGACTTCTAGATCATGTGCATAGAAATTATAGATAATGGGCCCACCTGTTTTCTGAGAACACTTCCATGTAGATCATCTGGGGATTCGTCTTCAGAAGTATTTTCATGTGGAGATATCTCTGTAGTCTGCGAAGTAACACTTCCACTTTTCGCCGAGACCCCAATCGAGACACCATCTGAAATAAAAAAGCAAACTTTGAATTAATCGTGAAGTTTTCTTTGTTTGTAATTACTTAGTCCATCGGTACGTTAAACATGTTTTTATGAATAGAAAACAACATATTAAATAATTTAAACTAGTATTTACAGTAAGTGATTCTTCGTTTGCCAAGTTCAAATTCACCGCTACTTCAAATTTTGCGACCTTCAACTTATTTTAACAGTAATTGTACTTACATGAACGTTTGCTAGTACTGGGGTTTTCGACTCCTCCCATTAAATCAAAAAACTTTCTTTCCAACTCGTTCAAAATAATTTTTCGGTTTCCAGTTTGTCTACGATCCGTTTTTACCTTGATCCTTTGCTTCATGTTGTTGATTTTCTTCATGACTTGCCGAACAGTCATATTGATCCCGTGTTGGACTAGCATCTGGATACACACTTCATGCATGGCAGTTTTTTTCTTTTGCTTCATTTCCGGCACTTGAGATTTTTCCAGCAGCGTTTTTCCGAAGGATATCAGAATATCCACGAACTTCGCATCTTGAATACTTTTTTTCTCAGCAGTTGTGCCTTCCGTTAGAGCCTGGTTCCCATTTTCATCATCCTCACCTAAAAATAATGGAAACGGCGTAAGTTATAAATCATTTTTCAGTACTGTGGGGAAAAAAAATTCTTACTCTGATTCTGATTTTCCTCCAGATATTCCTCGTTGAAGGAATCCTCAGCCATTTTCCCGTAAAGCTTCTTCGGGCACTTCTATTTTGCATCCAAAAATATTCCTTCTATCAAAGAAAATCAAATCAAAACAAACAGCTTTTTGACAGAGTAAAGCTATGTTCGAAATTCGAACTTACTCCGAGTAAAGTACAACTTTATTCATACGAATTTGAGTAAATGCTCAAACAGATTACTTTCCTCAAACTGGGTTGCTCATGAGTAAAGACTTGCTTTTATTCATATGACCTATTGTCTGATATATTTCATGGTGAAAAACTGGTGATATGTAATGGGTGGGAACAGACATCTAGAAACTAATGGAAAATCATATAAGTTTGCACTATGAGAAAATTCAGTAAAATATACCTGTTTTCATGATGAATATTGCTCACTAAAAGATATATCTTATAAGATAATCATGAATATTTTATTGGAGTTGTTTTAACGATTTTTGACGTTTGTTGACGTGTAACCAGATATGTAGAAACTATTGGACTGTCATTTAACTTTGCAGTATAGGAAAACATGTATATCTCATTGGAATAGTTTCCTTTGATTTTTGAGGTTTAAAGATTGTAAAAAGATCTATCCCAATCATTAAATAGTCATATGGATTTGCCTTTTAAGAAATCCAACAGCAAACATTTGTTTTGGCATGGTTTTCTGGGATGAATATCGCTCCCAATAAAATACAGCTTACATGTTTGTTCTTTATAAATTATGGAAAAAATTTTCAACGATTCTATCGTACACTCATTTAAATGATTAGTCGAACTAAATATTGCTAACAACAATGATACTGTCTTATATATGTCTGATATAATCTTTGTTTGTTATTGTTTCATAAGATAAAGGGTTCCGGAAAAGAATGTATCGATATTGAAAAAAAATGATTCTACTGCAATGTTTACTATGCTAAGATTCTAATTGTAAGCCTTCTACGGCTAATTCAGATTCCAGCATTAGTACTAGAACTTCATGAACCAGTTTCATGAACTCTTATAATGTAGTCGTTGTTTTATTGCACACAGAAGCATTAAGAAAGATTTGAATACACGACGCCACTGAAACGGAGCATAAACTTGTCAGTGTTATTTTTCTTCACTCTAGCAAAACGAGCATAACGTTGTACTACATTCCATGTCAGGAGAGCTGTTCTTACTTCATGCTAATTGAATGAGCTCAATCTAGAAGTCAGCCGTGGCCCAGTGGAATCGAGCGCAGACACCGAAAGCATCACACCTTAACAGTTCTGGATGGAATCCCAAATCAGCAACAGTTAAAAAAAAAAAAAGACACAACTGCGAAAAAGCTTCCACTGCCTGGTGTTTATTTTTCGATCTATTTTTAGAAATCGATTAAATATATGTGTCAAAGAAGAAGTAAATTTTATGTGATTTTCATATAAACTTTACTTCGATTGATTTATGACACATATATTATACTGTGGTGAAAAGTAAAGCTTATGCAGTTAATTATCATAATTTGACCGATTTGCATTTATCATATGACGATCATATAAAAGTTATCAAATTATCAGCATTGTAAATGCATCAGATATTCATAGAGAATTTACCTGACACATTTTCAATCATATCATTTTTAATGGATTATCTTATAGCGCAAATTTATTAGACTTCCACATAACAGGAATATGTCAAATTGGTTCAGTGCAGTTGATTGTGGGGTGGCCAAACTGCCCCATCTCCCCCTACGTGGTTATGAACGAACTTCACCTTAACTGTTTCCTTCCTTTATCCATTTCCAGGTCGGTGACAGTGCCGTGTTCCTCTCTACCGGTCGACCGGACCGACCCTACATCGGTCACATCGAATCCATGTGGGAAACCTCCACCAACAACATGGTGGTCCGCGTCAAATGGTTCTACCACCCGGAAGAAACCGAAGGATGTCCCAATCTGAAATATCCGGTAGGTCAAAACGGTTTCTTAATGTACTAAAAATACAGAGTATAACCTAGCTGCTTTTTTCCAATCTTCCAGGGCGCCCTCTTCCAGTCGCCGCACGAGGACGAAAACGACGTCCAAACGATCTCGCACAAGTGCGAAGTGCTCGCCCTCAAGGAGTACATCGCCAAGTTCGGTGCGGATCCGAAGCAGTACAGTGCCATCTACGATAACAACGATACGTACTACCTGGCCGGGTACTACGATCCGACGGTGATTACGATCAAGATGCAACCGGAAATCGAAATCCTGCCGGGCGAGGAGAAGTGGGTTAGGACTGATTAGGTGGGCAGTTTGGAGGGTGTGCAATTTTATAGGTACTCAGAATGACTTCTCCTAGTGAGATTTGGCAATATAACAAGGCGTCGGCAGTGCCGATTGTTGGATGTGAATTTTCGTTTTCTGTAAATAATCGCTTCAAAACTATTATTGCTGTTGTTGGAAATACTTCAAAGACTTGGAAATCACTAGCATTAAGGTTCACAGTGAGCGGCTGCTTGCCGCGTGAACGGATTATTATACTGGATTGTATGAAAGTAATAGTGTCACTTTATAAAAGTGTAAACGTGAAGTTAGTGTAGATACATTAAGGCAAACCTTTGAGATTCAACATAGAATTGTAATCAAATGTAAATATAACTGCAATCCTTTAACATTGATGTTAATATTCTCTTAATTGACTAACAAATACGATATCAGTACGGTAAACAGAGGAGAAATTATATATTTTTCTACGTGGAGAGATTTTTATGCTTATTGTGGATATATATATGAGAGAGTCAGTCAAATTCAAAAGAGAGCTTTTTGGAACGAAATTTGATATACCTCTGCTATACATTGTAATCAGTAAACGAAACAACAAAAACCGACATTTTGGAGTGATACTAGGACTACAAAATTTAACGCAACAAATTACAAAAGATCTGCCATTCTTTTCGATTAAGTTTCTCCGATGTACTAGCAGGGGTGAGGATAAAATTCAAAAACATACCCTTTCGGCAAAAAGCGGAACGGTTACAAACTTAACCTTTACTACATAGAGTCCCTTCAACATGATCTCTTAACTAAATACAAGCAAACATTTAATTGGTACAATGAAATCTGTTTTTTTTCTAACAAAACCTAGTATTAAAAGACAATTGTTGATGAATCTATAGATAGCAAGATAGCGAAACAATCGGCACTTCTACAAAGAGCAAACAATAGCATGGGCTATTTTTTTCAATCTCACCATAATCAGCAATAGCAGGAAAGTAATAGAGAACAATCCGTAGGAAGCTACATTTAATAGTTCGCATTCGTTACTCGATTGAGTTGATTGATTGAAGGCATGTAGAATAACACGACAAACGAAACCCAGTGGCAAAAAGATACTTCTACCGTCGTTTTCCAGTCGGTGTACATATTTTAGACTTTAAATTTGATGTAATTTATTCCACATCTCTGAAAGAAGTAAACGCAACGAGCTTCATATCTGCTATGCTACAAGTCTAGCCCGTAAAATAAATAAAAAAAAAAAAAACGAGGAACGCAGTACTTGTACTGCTAACCATCCTTCATTGAATATTATTGGATTAGATGCTACCCGCACGGCATAAATCGTCTGTGTTTTGTTGAGTTGAATATGTTTTCTAGCGCTAAGTTAAGGTGTACATTAATTTATGCAATTCTTTTACCGCCCTACTGCTGCGATGATTATTATCAACTTTAGTAGCTGTGTAGTGGAACCTATAAAACTGAAATGAATATCGGAAATCAAAAAACTGTACGACAGCGAGGGGTTTAGCGAGAGGCAGAGAGAGAGAGAGAGAGAAAGAGCATTTACAAATGATAAACTCGGTATGTGAGGGTCTCTGGTAGGAAGAATGGTGCGTTGGGTGGGAATGGAATGCGAGTGCTTAGTCTTTAGGAGGTATGATTTATCCCGTGAATGTATGTGTAATGTAAAAGTAATAAAATTCATTCTTGAAATTGGATTTGCGACGATTTTTACTGTGATTTTGGATGACCACACCCTGCACACCAAATTTAAGTTTTAATTATCAGTAAAACGAATTGCTGGATCATCATCAGCAATCCAATGCTTTACTGAAAAACAGCAAACGATATTTTTACCGAAAAAATTAACTAACATAAACTAACACCCAGTCGTCAAAGAGCTGTCAAACAGCATCACAGTCGAAAGTTTTTTTTTGCAGTCGTACTCCACCGGTCCAACCGCAGGGGGAGGAAGAGGTAAGAAATAAAATTATGTAGGTAATTTGGAAAAGAGTCTGGCGATTTTATCTTTATAATTCATATATTTGTATCAACGATTTTTTACAGAAGCTGGAAGCTCATATAGTGAAAACAAATTCGATTTACTGAATATAGTTTAATCAGCAAAATGCTGCCAAATGTCAGAATTTTGAATTGCTGAAAGATCAGTAAACAAATAGTGCTGATTTTCAGTAAAAGGTTGTCATTTTGACAGAAGTTGGAATTGCTGAAAAATTCAGCAGCAATATTTAGCTGGAACGTTTGCTGATCTTTCATCAAGTCTAAAATCAGCCAAATTTTGCTGATTTTCAGCGATTTAAATTTGGTGTGTGTATGTAATTCGCTCACAACACACAGAGATTATTTTACTGGGGTCAGTAATTTTTTACTGGGTTTTCAAACAGCTGAAAAAGTCAGTAAACTGAAAATAACGGTCACACGTAATGCAACGAACAATTTTAACATATTTTATTTTTATCATCAAATAAATGTAATAAGAACACAGTCTGTATAAATTTCAAGAAAAAATCACTTTTATACAATTTTTTACAATTTTTTTAAGTTTACTGACTTTTTCAGCTGTTCAAAAACCCAGCAAAAAATTACCGAACAGGGAGGCCGTGATTTTGTGTGAAGACTACACATATCCTTCATACAACGTTATAGCCAATTGAAATTTAGCTTTCTGTAGCCTGGTAGGCTGGGCCCATCGTTTACAGAGCTGACTAAAATTTAATTAATAATTTTTAACGAAACTCAATAGACTACCCTACTACCATTTTCACCTTGGCTTTTCCCCTTCCAGATACTGCTGGCTTTTTATAATTATAGATACTATAGATTCCATAGATAAGCGGAGGCACAAAAAGTTGTTTTGGCAACCATGAAAAATAAATGATCTTACTGGCATCCGTGAAAAAAGTTCATGCCATCATAGGGAGCTACACCGTCGGGTTAACCTCACTTTTTTTGACACCTGTCAGTGGTTTGTTTATATGGACTTTAAAAAAAATATTTAAAAAAATTATTATATCAGGCACAACATTTGATAACGGCACAAAAGCATTTGTAAACAAACTTTCTAAGGCCCTTTACACGCGAACCAAAGTACGCCCACGCAAACCAATAGCATCATCGGATAGGGGCAACTATCACCTTTCCGAAAGTGGTATTCGTTTGCGTGGGCGTACTTTGGTTCGCGTGTAAAGGGCCTTAGAAAGTTTGTTTACAAATGTTTTTGTGCCGTTATCAAATGTTATGCCTGATATGTTTTTTTGATTTTTTAGAGAAGAATATTTTTTAATCGAATATGGTGGGCGTTGGCCTAATTTGGATTTTTCAGATATAATCCTAAATAGGACCTAGATTATTTAATACTCTAGTAACCTCAAGTCCGTGCTCTGTCACAATGTTTCATTGTGATTAATCAACACTCAAAGGGGAAATATAAAATTTGGGGTAAATTTGAAAGAAAGGGAACTTGGAGTGTAGAGCGCACTGCCCACTGGACGATTCTGAAGCCTGGCCAAGTGAATGGGGTATGGGTTTATTTAATTGAACGTCATTTCCAATGTATATATTGATACATTCAATTTACATTGGCATTTGAGATAAGACAGAGATAGGATGCGGAGGGCCCGCTTAGGAGGAGCGTAACCCATGTTACGGTTTCCATTTATTAAATAGTTCAGATAGGCTAATGACAGGTTTATAGTGAGAGAATTACCATATTGGGAAAGCATAATTTGCATAGGGTTCAGAGTGGCTGAGCTGTTCCTTTGTAGTTTGACCAACAATCAATACGAAACTAACGATTTTAAATTGGCTCACTACTTGACTAGCCTATTGGTCCCAAGCAAACGATTAACGTATCTCATTCTAGTCGAAATTCTAGTACTACACAATGTTTGTTTTGATTCGCTATGAAAGTTTGACAGATAAAATGAGGGGTTAGTGGATTTTCCTATGTTTCGAGGGGTGAATCGATTAGCTTGGGACCGAAGAGAGCACCAGAGCTGAGCCAAAAAGTTGAGCACGTTATTTCGGGACCTTCTAGTCTTAGAGTTACCTCTATGGTTTGACCTTCCTTCAAAACCAATTTGGCTCTAGAACAATTTTAAACTTGTTCTGAATTATTCACATGTTGCAATTATTGAAAAGAGCTCGATATAAGATAGCCACAGAGAACAGACGTTGAGGCTCCAAAATGTCTCTAAATACTTGTGTAAAGATTCCTATTCGACTTAAGCGCCACTAACGACGACTTCCCCACTTAAAAACCCTCTTTGACAACATGATGGCGCTTTGCGTTGCAAAACTTACACTAGACACTAAGTGCTAGTAGCGCCAAGTGGCAATTTTCAGCAGGTAATTTATCGGTACTAGCGCCAAATTGGTCGAAAGTGATAAATTCATAGAGGAAATCAGGAGATGCTAGCGCTACGTAACGGCAACGTTTCCACTTAACTTTACACAAGTTTCTGACCGAACTTGGACGTCTGGTCTCTGTGAGATAGCTTAATACAATTAAATAGAAATGCCAAAATCTTTTTTTTTTTTTTTACTAGTTCGTTTATTTACTAGGCTCAGTCGTGTGTGACACTTTGCGGAGCCAAAATCAGTAATGTTTGATTTTACATTTTAAATAGCAGTAGTTCTAGGTTAGTATTGGGTACCAATTACTCGTGGCGGGCTCGAGGTTAATGGGTAACAATTTCGATGGGAAGGAGCTAGGTAGGAAACTGGTTTCTGAAGCCTCCTTCAGATACTACTCTCGGACGGTTGACCAAATCCTGGCTGGGCAGGGGCAAGTAGCACAGGAACAGGAGGATAATAAGACTGGGACACAATGGCGGGAAATTGTTTGGAAAGGATGGGATGGTCACATCAAACTCTAACATCAGACAAACAAAGGAATTCGTAGATCGCTTGCATGTAGGGAAGATCACGTGTTCCCAATACATCTCTTACTTCACGGAAGGGTTGTCTACCTCGGGCCACTAGGGTATCCAATAGTCGTGCTCTGGAGGCGTCATTACCCGGGCAATACCAAACTGCGTGATCGATGTCATCATAACCGGTTCTGCACCTACATATATTGCTGTCAACGAGGTTTATTCTATAGAGATGTGCGTCTAGCGAGTAGTGGTTGGACATAAGTCTTGACATCACTCGAATGAATCCCCGACTTACATCCAGACCTTTGAACCACGCTCTCGAAGAAACATTTGGA